GCTTCTCCCTGCTGCTGCTGCCTGGGGTCCTGCCTTGCCCACCTCTGTTTTGGTCCTGGGGTCCCTCCTTGGCGTGCCTGAGCCCCAACCCGCAGGGGGTTGGTAGAACCACTGTTGCCGGCTTCCTCAGCTAGAGCTTGCTCTGGTTTGGCGTTTGCTCCACCCTGATGACTCCTTCCTGCGCGCAGGTGACAGCCAGGATCCCGTCCCTGCGCCACAGCCGTCCCTGCACCAGTCCCCGACACCCGCCTGCAGAGAGGGACTGTCAGACCGCGACCCACCGCCCCCTGGGATGGACAGGGCTGGCCTTTGCCACATGAGTCCCCAGGGAACAGAGTGAGGACTCACCAGCCCAGGGGCTCTCGCACTCGTACAGCATCCAGTGGTCCGCTCGGAAGGACGCGTGGAACCACATGGAATGGTCAAGGGACACCATGAACTTGATGCGGTACTGCCGGTGCGGGAGCAGGGCTGTGCCCAGGAAGGCGTAGTCAGAAATGTAGGCGGCCACGCAGCAGTGCACCTTCATGTCAGTCTCTCCTGCAAAGCAACCGGCACTGCCAGGGGTGGCTGTGGAACAAGCCTGCATGCATAGTGCGAGGCAGAGACCCAGGAGCTCTGCTTCCCCAATGGCCAGCTGCTGGCAGAACTGAGATGCTCTTTCAGACCTGCTCCCCTTGCCATGCGCCCGGGGAGAGCCCACCAGCACACAGGTATCGCTTCATGCTCCCGTGCCCACACCTGTATTTCAGCCTTGAAATCCCCAGGCTCCCCTGCAGGCTCAGGGCGCAGACAGCCTCTGAATCACAACCCTCTCAGTCCACTTCCTCATGAGTGTGCTCTGCAGCATGAGCTTGAGCTCAAGCCCTTGGCTCGTGAGGCAGCTGGACCACTCTCCTGGCAGGACCCACCTATGTAGCCTCGTGCTCGCACCCAGAAGAGTTGCTTTGGTTCCTGTGGCTCTGAGCAGAATATATCTGGCGGGTTCACGGGTTTGATATCAATCGGCACATCTTCGGCTTGAATCTTGTTGAGATGCTTTCTGTATCTCTCTGCCAAGTTAGGATTCCTATAGAGCAACACAGAGAAGTAAGGTTAATGCCAGGCAGGCCAGGAGCACATCCTGCTGGCAGCAGCTTCAGCCCAGGGATCCAGGGCCACGCAGAAAGGCAGGAGGGGCACGGCTCCTGCCCTGTCCTGTCCTGCTCCTATCCTCCCCTCCCAGGTGTATTTGGGAACTCCTCAGGCAGTCATCCCAATCCCTGCACCTCCCTAAGCCCTAGCCACAGAGAAAGGCATCCCCGGCATGCCCCTTCCGCCCCGCTCACTGCAGGAACTTCTGGATGAGCTCCTCTTGTGTCAGTAGCTCCTCAGGGGGTGGCACAGCAGGCATGGTGAACTGGTGCTGCACTGGGCTCTCCTGGGAGAGCTGGAAGGAGGCCTGGCAGGTGAAGATCGGCTTTCCGTGCTGGATGGCCTTTACAGAACGAACAGAGAAGCTCTTCCCTGTACGGGTCCGCTCCACCTCATACAGGACCGGCACCTTGGGGTCCCCTGGGACAGAAAAGGGACATTCTG